ACTCGTTAAACTTTCTAGATATGCATACTTTGTAGTTCTTGGTTTCTCTGTTTTGTAAATCGGCCAGTATTTATAAATGGGAATATGTACATTTTATGCAGATGCTTACCGAAGGTGATTTCAAAGTATTTACCCTTATTCACTGGTCTACGAATAGTCGGTGGTGGATTGGAGAATTCTTTTAATACATAGACTTTTTTTGTTTTAATATAGAGTATGGGACACCTGTATATAGACACTGCTTTTATTAAAACGACTGTAAAACTGGTTTATAAAAGTCTCAGGTTTCTAGGTCTGCAGCTGAAGACATGACCTGGGAATCCCTCCGATTTTTACACTGATAATATTTTCAAGCGTTAGATTGCAGACATTCGATTGGTTTCAGGATTTCATCATGAAGTGACATCAGTTACAGAACCGCTGGAAAACCTAGGAGTACTGGACAGTTGTTTTGTCCTAGTTTGGGACTCTTCATGGCAGGTACTCACTGGGTTTCGAACCCAGGACCTCCTGGTTACAAGGCGAACTCGTAAACCATTAAGCTACCGGAATCATTATTTTGAATTGGTAGAAGATGCAATTCATGAACCATTGGATCGGACCAAGGAGTCTTAATCGTCTACGAGCTCGCCTTGTAACCAGGAGGTCCTGGGTTCGAGTCCCAGTGAGTAAGTGCAATGAAGAGTCCTAAAATAGGACGAAACAACTGTCCAGTACTCCTAGGCTTTCCAGTGGTTCCCTCACCGATGTTAGCTCATGATAAAATCCTGTAATAATATTTTTTCTGAATGTTTCTAGTCCTTTTCCCATGACCTGTATAATATTATTTTGACATTCTCCCGTTTTCTTTTTTTTCCTAATGTATATTATTTGTCCTTGTTTTGAATGAGTCTTTTTCTTGTTACTCCATTTTGCTGTTTCGTGATACTGGACTGTTGATAACATGGCGCTGTTTTATTACTTCCTATATTTTGTTTGGTGGAACTTAAGGTTGCACCGTGGAGTGACTGCTTATCCTTTCTACGTCTGTTCAAAACGTCTATTGCTTTCGCTGACTCTTGCAGAGTGAATTTATTTCATTATTGATATAAGTATGAAATTTGACCACTGTGGTAGAGTATAACTCATATCAAGGGATTTGATATGATTATGAGCAATAAATTGTGCTCGAAACGTCATCAGTAAATATTACTGTACAACACTGTGAGATTTATCAAAATAAAATCTTATCCATAATAGGGTGAATTTACTTCACTATTTGGAATACTGTCTCTCAGTTACTTAATACACGTATTTAGTTAGCCATGTTTTCTTTTGTAATACGAATTTTGTGCCAGAGAAGTTTCTGGACTGCATAGTTGTTGGCACTGTCGAGGTACTTTTGTATTTTCGATGTAACTTGTTGTTATATAACACCGCAGAGTGTATCACTTTAAACTGCACACATATCTTCTTTCTATTGTAATCACTGAGGTTTTATGGGATTGACAGAAAAAGAGGCTGTCCATGGAAGAATATGAATAAACGGACGAGAGTTAATTTGTTTGGTTGATACAGAGGCAGCCGTCTCAATGATATTTTAAGAGCAGTGTAAGAACGAAAGAGCGCGCTCACCGACAGTTAAGATTGTAGGGAGATATAAGTTCTTGGTGCTTCACACTGTGTTTTAGAGAGAGTTGAAAGCATGCGTAATATACCACCCACTTGTTGGGACATCACAAATACGGGGGAAGATACTGGGAGCGGACCTATTCAGAGAAGTAGGTTCATTGGTTGGAATGAGGAGTAGAAAATTCGAACACGAAGTATAAACAGTTTGTAATTTATGAGAACAGGGAAGTAACCGATGTAGAATTAGCAAAAACCATTCAAAAGACTGCACCAGCTATCACCAAATCAATGGCTAAATATACCAGCTTATTCACTGCAGACGTATAAACCTACAGTTTTTGTGACTAGATAAAACAATAGGTCCCACTGGGGAGTAGGGAAATGGTAGTCCTTACAGGTCAGTGAGTGCCAGCTCATTCAGAGGAAGAAATAAACAGACACGTTCATGAAATGTTGAATGAGGGAATAGTCGAAGACGTCGACAGTCCGTATAGCTTTGCAGTGCTGTACGTGAAGAAACCAAACAGAAAGTATAGATTCTGTATGGGTCTTAGAGAGATAAACAGCCTAAGGGAACTAAAACCGAGGATCACTACATTGTCTTTGGAAAGCTATTTTTGATCTACGATCAGATTAGTGGCAGATACCAGCGGAAGAAAACGATAGAAGCGAAATAGTCTTTACTGTTGGTAAGAAGCAATATCAGTTTTGATGAATACCTTTCGGATTGACAGTCGGGTCACTTACTCTGTTACTGAGGAGTGTGAAGAACGTCGAAGTATACATGGATGACTTTGTTGTGTACAGTAAAATAAAAGGTGACCATTTAGAAGCCATATCAAAACGTATTGAAGCATTTAGACCATATGTTAATAACAAAAAGTCGCGGATAGCCAAAAGCAGTGTTATTCTTCTGTTATTAACTAGGGAATGAAAAAACAGAAAAACTACCCGAAAGAATCCTGACCAGTGCAATGCCGAATTGGAAAAGAAAGATGAGACAATTTTGGGGAAGAGAGGAGTTTCACAACCGGTCAGGTGAAAACTGCAATGAGATAGCAACATCTCTAGATTAAGATTCTAAGAAGTACAGGATTTACGTGAACAGAAGAGGGACAGCAAATATTTGATCAGATTAAGGAACACTTAGGTGACTCACAGATGACGCTAAAAAGGACTGGCGCCTGAAAAACAATTCATAGTTTTCGCAGCCGCAAGTGGTTAGGGCATAGGTGCTGTTTTAAGACAAAGAGACGGGTTTTAGAGTATGCTAGCGCCGTTTTGACATTTTTAAAGTAGAAAAGGAGTGTTTGGCGATTGTTAGGATTCTATATAAGAGAAGATCACACATGCTTGGTTGTCAGTTTCACACTGAGGTTGACCAAAAAGCTGTACAATGATCGGAAAGTGCCAAAGAATCTCGAGGGAAGTGACCACGATAGATATTACGACAGCATAGGTAGGTTTTCACCACCAAACATATTCTAGGAAAGGGAAATATAGTAGTAGTACTAGATTACCTGTCGAGATCCGATAGTAAAGTTGAAATACCGGAGACAGCATATATAGTGGATGCCATATATCAAGGACCATCACACCTTGTTCATCGCCAAAAATCTGACCCTACTCTTAAAGAAGTTACCCGGATGATAATTGAAGGGGAAGAAATGTAGAGGCCAGAAGTAATTATGGAGTTGATTACCCTGATTTAGCGAAAACATGTCCTGTAACTAAGTGCATTTGGAGCAATAATTTAGAAAGAAAATGACAGATGCCGAGTAACAGTCATTCTGAAGAGCCTTCGTCTGGGGTTGATCCAAGAATGTTATCGGCTAACCCACACAGGTATCAAAAGAACACATGATCTCGTTAATCAAAGCGCGTACTGGCCAAGAATAAGAGATGATATTGCGATTTATGTCCTTGGTCGCCCGCAGTGCCGATTAATGAATGGTTGTCTGCAAATCTGGGACGAATACAATTGATTCGAAGAAAATAAGCCCGTAAATTAGGGTTTGAAGACACAGAGCGTCCCTTTCTTCAGACACCGAGTGATAGCCAACACCCATTAGTGATTACTGGGCAGGTCACGCTTTAGATAGATGCAGTAGCGATACCAGAACAACACGCTAAGACGGTAATTTGGCATACTGTTTCGGATCATGACATACTCAGGATAATTCTGACAGAGGAGTTCTTTGAACACTGGGTATTAAAATGATCAGAACAACACCGTATCACACCTTGGACTATTGGTTTCATAGAAATACATAATCCTCCACTTAAACAATGGGTAGACTCTAAAGAAGGCCCTTGGTACTACCAGCACATCGAGCCTCAATACAAGCAACAACGAATAAATTGTTGTTCCCGCTAACATATGGGGAAAACTGTGTTTTCCGGTACACTACAAACTTTGGTCACAGAAACAAAGTTGGAATATAACGAGATGGACAAGTGAGTGAAAACAGGCTATCCGGAGTGTTTAGGAAAAGCAAAATTCAGACACAAATAAAGCTAGACAGAAAAGTAAGGAGAAGAGGCCATCTGAAGTTGAATGACAGGTGAAGTGTAGAGAAGGGAAATATGCCGTTGAGAGTGGAGCAAGAAGTGGGAAAGACCACACTTGGTCACATTACGACGACAAATAGGTCAAGAAAAGAAGTCCAAGAGATAGTCAAATGGAACGTAACTACATGAATGACTTTATGATGCACCCACCATAAGTGTGAAATGTGCTACTTATAAGAAGATATTGGTAAGTATGCTGAGTAACGTTTTGTGAGAAACGATCAATGAAGAATAGGCGTGAAGTGACAAAATTGAATAAATCTAATAAGAAACATACAAGGAAGATATTATTATTTGCAAACTGTAGGATCATTATAAGGTTTATGACTTTTCTAATGTAAATTATGTTTTGTTGCCATAAACTTTGCTCCTGGCCTCATTAGTCTTGTTCACTACAGTCTGATGGTTGCACTCATAATCAAAAGTATTACTGATAACTTGAAGTGGAGTTAGGACCTGGACAGACCTATTTCAGGAAGTTAATCTCCTGAACTAGTTTGTAGAGATTTGATTTGTTTAACTTTTGGTCACGGATTGATGTCAGTTAGAGAACCACTGAAAACCAGGGATTACAGACAGCTGTTTTGCCCTAGTTTGTGACTACTCAGTAGCAGGCCCCCTCAAACTTTTAGAAGTTCAACAAGTCAATGTTCGGGCAGAAGAACAGTGAGACGGCAATCATTTAGATCTACCAAAAAGAAAAAAATAGCCTCCAGTAATATGCAAGTAGCCTGCCATATGATAATCCTAAGTAAAACAGAAAAGCAGCTTCTATTCTTTAAATGTACAGTAGAATAACTAAATAAGTAAGAGTATTTCTCAATACATCAGGGAAAATATATTATTATCATTATTATTCAGAGAGAAGTAAAGATAAAAGTTTGTGGATAATAGAACATTAATTTTGGAATTCTGCAAGTATGCAGTAACATCATCGAAAAAAATACAACAAAGTGGACAGATAGCCGTCCAAAAAACAAAGATAACTCATGAATAGCAGAGTATTTCGTGAAGTTTTGAATGGCTGTTTCTTGTCGCCGTTAATAATGTAGTGAATCCAATCATTGGGATATTCGTTTCATGATCACCAACAAACTAAAAATAAGTTTTTTTGAGAAAGCCGAAACATAATGAAAAGGGTAGTTAGATGAACAGTTAGCTGTCAGTTGAATAACTTAACTCTCTAGCCAGCATCAACTGAGATTATTTTTATTCCTTAGGCTACTTTAGGTAATCTGAATTCAGTATACTGAAACCGGTACAAATAAAAAAGGAATCTAGGTTGTAACTAGGTACTAACTAATTGGCAACATCCATGTTGGAATAGGTTGAGAAGCTTAGAGGTTACTGTTTCAACAGCAATCATCCCTTTATATAGGATCTTAATTAGAAACGTGACACACTCAACATTCTTTCACTATCAACTGTATTACATTCAAAGCCAACAAGCACTTTTAAGTTAGACTTGTTTTTAAATGATTAGGAGTTTTGTTATCCAGAAAAGTTACTGAATCTTTCAGTTTTACGAGCACCTCTGGTAACTGTTACTAGTTAATACTTGCTGATGTCATTATTTAGCATACGAGGAGATAATTATACCGATTTTGAATGTTCTAACTACAAAAGTGAACAAAAAAGCAGAGATTATAAAGTTTTCTATAAACCAAATATGTAACGATTCCTCCTTTTGACAAGCAAGAAAATTGATTATTAACAAAATACTTTCTTTCCCAGAAAATGTTGTGTCAGTTTCCTCTTCAGTGTTATTAGCTTTTCACTTTATGGTTTGTTAATTTGAGGTGCCTACGAAAAAATCTCATTTTAAATGAAGTCCTCAATGAAAATAAACACCGAGTAGGGAATAAGTATTTGTTCCCTTGGGATCCTTCAGCAGTTTACATATGTGTCTCAGATTGAGAAAACAGTAGTTCGACAGTCACACAATAATTTTACTTGACAAATTAGTTTCGTGTGTCAATTAAGTAGAGACTGGTTTATTTATTGGGTAACTTAATAAACTTGGCATTTATATAACAACGGTTGATTATTACCACTAATATTACTTTAAAGTAGATGTTATACTAACTTATATTATAGAATATAGAGATTTAAATAAGCATTTGCAGCAGTATTTAAATTCGAAGTTACCTGTAGTATATATGTGCTTTCGAAAGCTAAGTTTATAAGTTTTTCAGAATCCAGTTTTGAAAGATTTATTATTAATTCTGTAAGATAAGATTCCAGTTTCCTCTGACTAGTGTAAATGTTCTCTTGATTATTTTCCACCGGATCTAACTAGAAAAGTTTGGATCAAAAGTAATAATGTCAGTTTTAAATTAGATCTATTGACTGACATTGGATTCAAACAATAAAAGGAATAAATCTGACAGTTTGCTCCGAGTAGAAGTAATTTTTTTTTCATTCTTGTCTCAGTGGTCTTCAGATGTAGGCCCAAAATGTGTAGGGGATTGTAATGAAAACCAGATAGATGCAAAAGGATACAAGGAAATAAGTTATCAGTAGCCTAATCTTTCCGGAAAATAGATGGTCACTGTAGCAGCCTTTTGTACACAAAGGCAGGAGCATGAATTAGATTATATAGGTTTGTCACATCCTTTCAGTAGCTCCTAAGAACATGTGTGATAGTATGAAGGGATTTAAAGCAAAATTTTAACATTTATTATAAAATTTTATGGGTACTAATCTTTATATAACACATATGCATTACCAAGGTAACACTGTGAATGGGTATTCTGTGTCACACAAACGGAAGTGGGAAATAACTTTATCGTTCTAGTTAAGTTTTACATTATTCTGATGAGTAGAGAAGGCAGTTAAATTTATCACTACCAATAGGAAATATTATTTCGTAAAAGGTTGTAATGTTAATGATTCAGAAGGTCATTCAAAACACCTTTATTCTTTTACTGACTATTATTTGAAATGTGTTCCTTTTCATCATATTTCATCTTCGTGCTCAGTCCACCGTCTACTAATACTATCTACATTATAATCCCGAGATAAGTTATCTTTTTTGCTGGTATGGTTTTTTTCTCCATCGACCGTATTTTCCTCCGATATTTTTTGTCATATATGCCAGTCACTTTATTGGTTACACATGATCTGTCAATAGCTTTTGCAGATACATTGCACCATTCACCTCTTTGTGTGTTTTAATAAGCTGAACACCGCAAAGTATTATTGTTCTGCTTTAAGATAATTTATGTTGATTTACTTCGACTCAGATTCCATGAGTTAATAGTTTCAAGGCATTACTTTTTTCCTGATTCTGTTTCTTCAGCAGTAACGAGGGTCATAAGTCTCGATTAGTGTTAGCATTTTTAGATGGATGTACCTGAATCAGGACGTGTTGATCCTCACAGTGCGACTCAAAAATGTTGGCTGTCAACACCAGAAAGCTATTCCGTAGTGTGTAAATGAGAATTATTTATTGTACCACTGGTATTATCGTTGATATTTATAACTTCCTGTGTCACTGTATTTCCTTCCTTGAAATTATATATTTTTTCAGTGCATAACTTTATTAAAGGAAAAGATATTATAACACGAAACTAACTGAAGAGATTGGTGATAGAAGAAATGATTTTATGTGGCTAGTCTCAGTCTGCTTATTACGTTTAAACACTCAAGTCCTTTTTAAGCGTTTATCTGATAGCCACTCGTGCTGTTTATGAAATTGAAATCTTGATTATGACGTAGATACGTAATGACATCTTCATTATGAATTTATCTGATTTCGATACTACATCTGATTTATGTGATCCTTCTGGTGCGTCTTCCATGCATGGTTAATATTAGGATACTGGACAATAGAAAGAGTCATCTGGCTAAGACAGTATATAAATAGTGTTAACATGATAGAATTGTGTTAGTCGGTTAATCAATCCATCATGTTAATAAGGTGTAGTTTCCTGACCATGTTCAGTATTTTAGCAACTCTTCTGTATGAAGACTACAACAACACATAATGTACACATGGAAATATGTACCCATCTCACTGACAGACTACCAGTTCACTCACTTTCATAGCAAGACATTTACTGGCACTATGCTCCACTATTCAAAAAAAATCATAACTGAAAGTATATCATGTTTTACAACACCCTTAAGCATAGAATTCCAGGCTTAAAATTCAGATTTCCAAACTGAAAACTAATCTTTTTCTTCAAATAGCTTATTATTTTATTTTATATTTCATTCCTTTGCATTCCCATTGGAACATAGGGTTTTAAGCCAGAGCTTTGAAATTTCAGTGGGTAGTTGCTAGTTTCATGCCCAGCCTTCCCTCTGCACCGGTCTTATTACCGGCCTAGAGTGTCTTAGGAGTGTGTCGTCCGGGGTGCGATCAGCAAACACGATATCAAGACTAAATAAAAATGAGCATTTGTTTTTGTATTAAAGTAAACTTACACTGGTTTCTGTCTCTGTGACCAACTGGTTGAAAGTGAAAATTTTTGTAAATAGCTTCAAAGGCCGCTTTTGTGGCATAACACATTTGAATCTGTTAACAAAATTAAAGGAAATAAGCGTATGAAATATACTAATAAATACAAAAAACAGTTAGGAATAGTAAGCACTGAAGATTTCGCTAGGTAAATCAGGACGGTATAAATATTAGACGACATACTTTTCTAATACTCCCGCCCCTAACCACTTCAGTTTCAAAACTAAGTTGTTACACTTGAAAGAATCTGTGTACTACGAATAGCCTGACTGCCTGGTAAACTAATCACAAGCTGCAGTCAACTTTGAAATTTTACACACCTAAGTAGCCGTCTTAAAATATGATAATAAAAGGACTGATGCTTACAACCTCCAGAACGAAACTACAAATTATGATACATGAGACACTGTCGTAGGTTAACAAAACATGCTCTGAAATATTACGAGTGTTTAAACAATATTTAAGCAGACTTTTGAATTTCTTGAAACGCATTATACATGGATTCAAATTCATAGCATAAAATCCAGGCTAGTTCCCACTGTACACTGAAATTAACTAAAAAGCACTGAAAATAAGAAGCCGCTAAACAGCTGTTTGACTGTGTGATTTATCCATTCAACAAATCAATATGAAATTACTGAAACTGCTGATTATTCACTTCTCATAGGATTTTTCAGCTCTGCGCATGTAAAACGCTCTCCAGTCAATAAACCCTGAAGTCAAAACTTGCAGTGAGTACGCTACATAAAATTTAGCCAGTAGGATGAAGTTCAGTAGTTCATGTACTGCAGATTTTGTCATTTCGAAATGTGATCCAATCAAATGTAGTTTCCACCTATCTCCATTTGGTTTAGTCCATAAGGAACAATTTTACTTTAGAACTTCAGTATTTTGTCAGGTTTAATGATCTCAGACCCTGCCACAGTAAATTTATCCTGCTTAAAACCTCTTTTACGCAGAATATAAACGACTTTACAATATCCAAAAGTTAAGGTCTAGAATTATTGAGAAAACGATAAATAATTTAGGTGGACGACTAAAGAAGTATGCCTGAAAGACAACTCCATACTATCTATGTACCATTGATAAAGTGAATTTACTTAACTAGAGCCATTTTTTGTGACTATGGATATTTTATTAGGTTTTCAGAGATACAACCGTATATTCCTGAGTGGATAGCAGTAAAGACCATTGTGGCGCTTTCTTCTTCTCTGAGAACCGTAAGTTGAAGACAAATAAATATTGAAATTTTTTTCACTACAAACACTATCAATGTAATTACATAGAGAACCAATATACCACCAGACACAATGTGAAGGATTGGAAATTCCTTTAATTACACAATCCATAGTTTATTATCCTGTGAAACAGTAATACTGTGTCGACTGAGTTTCAACAATACCGACACACACAAAAAATTGCCTCCAGTTTATTTGTAAACTATATTGATGGCCTGTATAGCTTGATATAATGGAAATAAAAGTTTAAATAATGTTTTGTTTCTCTTAGGAAAGATGTCAAGTATATATATATATATATCAAGTAATTCATTTAAGCCAAATAGTAACTCACACAATGTTCGTGGATAGATATTGGGCAGACATTAGACGGTTATTTTCCGGTAAATCGATCTGAAATTAATCAGTTAATTATTACTGAGATGGGAACAGATTGGCAGAAATAAGTATTATGTATATGAAGCAAATGTTAACATAAATAATACGTGAGTCCATACTTGGATCACTTAACTAATATTCTTTTGCCGACCAATTAATCTGATGAGAATGCTTCCAAAGTTGTTCCAGAATTGACACAGAATTCAATAAATTAATTAAAGACTATGAGAAGTCCCAAAAGTATCACAATACTTTTGATTGGACACTAGTTAGCAACTAGTGTTATGTGTGTAGTCCTCTATTTGGTCCAGAGGAATGTGGCCACCATTCTACGTGGCTCGCCGTCACGGTGTACTTTGAATTGTTGATATCTTATGGTTGTAGGCAATCGGCAGGAGGCCTTGGACCTAGGTTTCTTGCTAGTCGGCACTCGTCAGCAAGGCGTATCTGCAACCTTGAAGGAAAATTAGTTGCTAACTGGTGTCCAATTAAAAGTATCCAATACAGTCCTACAGGAGGTCAATCGCGATCCCGAAAAGCTCAGTGGTAATGTATCTGATTGCAACACTGGGTGACGCGGGTTCGAATCTCAGAAGGGACATGAGTTCCTTTGAGGTTGCAGATACACCTTACTGATGAGTGCCAACCAGAACGAAACGTAGGTCCACGGCTTCCTGCCGATTGCCTCCAACCATCTAATAGTATCACAGTACATCAGACAGGTCATGTTATTCTGTATGTTTAAGCAGAATTAACCGGCAGTTTCTCCCTGCTTACCTTTGCATTGTATTCATAATTCAGACAATTAAAATATATTGTACTTCCTATTTGAATGCAACAATGTATTGCATATAGTACACTGCATTTCTCCCTTACAACCAATGCACCTAACTATGACAGGCTATACTTTATTGTTAGCTAATATAAACTCCTCAATCACAGCTTAAACTAGTAATAAAGTCAAACATATTATAAGCAAAATTTACGTTTCAAGAGAAATTAAGAGAGTGACTATTGCTTATTATGCAAATTTTGGTCAATAAAAACCTCTGGCATATCCTATTTTTTCGAAATAAAGTGAATAACCTTTCCGATTAGTACTGAGTAGGCTTTCTTGTTGAAATGTTTGAAAATGTTTTAAGATGGCAAAGAATCTCAAATATTTCACCAAATATCACAAATTCAGTCTGAGCAGTCCTCGTATGAAATTTCACGTATAATGACATTATTTTCATTTCAGTAAAGAGTACACCACTGAAGATTTACCTTATTAATAAACAAACAGCATTTATAAATACATATGTATTGCACTATCAAGATGTGTTCGGATGATAATGGGAATAAGCGACCTACCTTTAAATTCATAACAAAACACTTGTTTGGATGATTTTTCAATGAATTAGGCCAGTTTATAGAAATATGTTTTGGCAAAATATCACTAATCTTTCTCGTGTTAAATTCAGATTCATTTGATGAATACATTTCACGGTGGATGATACTGATTGGTGAAGATGAATTTAGAATGAGTAGAGGTTGCTGGATAAATTGTAAAAAGCTTTAAGTAACAAATCGTGAACGAAAGCATAACAATTTTTAAAATGCATTACACTACATTAGCATATCTACATTTACCACTTAAATATATGCATAATCGACAAATGGAGTTAGGAAATTGTGAACAATCGTATTGTTGAAATGAATTATTCTATTTTTGCTCAAAAGTGTTCGAAACATATGCAATAAATAAAAGTCTGTCCGTTTGACGAATTTGTAGACACATTGACAGACTTCTCGTATACCAAAAAGATAGCACAACTAAAGGTCTTTTTAAGATACAAACGAATATAACAGTCATGCTTTGGCAGGAACATTGACAGTTTCTTCGTGGTTTAATCAAGCAGAAAGAGGTTTTCATGATCCGATTTCGACAGGTGAATGTATATCAGTGATAATGACTGATAATGTACTTGTTGTGCCAACTGTCTCAAAAATAAATTGTCTGGCAAACTGAATTTAATTTTACGAGGTAGTGATTTAAATTAAAACAAAAGCTTAAACTGCGGTAAGATTATAATCTACTAGTCGCACAGTGATCAGTATTTTATTATGGAAACTTAATTATAAGATGCAGTTACTAAGTCAGTTGAGTGAACAGTCCACAACTCCGAGTCAAATAATTTGAGTCTTCTCGTTCCAATTGCAATCTCATCAGGATAACAGACTTACTATATAATGCATGAGTGGGAAAAGTAATAAAATGAGAAAGTATTTATCATCTATTAGATGACCTAGAAAAACTCAACCATACCTTATTTAGTAAATAAATTTTAGAACACAACTTGATCATTAACTTTCCGGCAGCAAGTATATGGCTGTTTTATTCTCGTTATCATTTGTACATTAATGTTAACAGTATTATTTAAGAAATTATACCCAGTGAGGGAATTGCGTCGGTAGCACAGCGGTTAGGACTCTCTCCGACCATGCACATGGCCTGGGGTTCGATTCCCTGCCGACGCACACCTGATATCAATGGTCTGCCTGCTGAATTTGGGCTACCGATATCACATTCTGAAAATTCCATAATTGCAGGAATAATACGGTGTGGAATCAAGCTATAATCAAAAATCAAAATCAAATCACAGGTGTGAATGCATGAAATAATAATAGTATGAAATGCAATTAAAATGTTTGTGTTAAATTATAGTATTCCATAAGCATATTTTGGCTTCACCTATTTTTCGTTTTGTTTATTCAATTTGTTCACTCTTCCTTTATTACGTCAATTATTACTATTACTATTCTCTCTCTGAACTGTTCCCGGTATTATTTCACTCCTTCCGCTTGTCATTCTAAGTCAGTTTTTTTTTTTTTGATTGAACACTAGTCAGTAACTAGTGTAATGTGTCTAGTCCTATCTTCGGTGCAGACTGAATTCTATCAGTCATGTTTGCAATGTGGCCACCATGCTAGGTGGCTCGCCATTACGGTGCACTGTGAATTGTTGGTATTAGATGGTTGGAGGCAATCGGCAGGAAGCCTCCAACCATCTAATACCAATAAGTCAGTTTTGTTTTACAACGCTAAATTTATGTTATCGAATTTCACACTATGTTACGTAACGTTTTTATTTTTATTCTATTTGCTTACTAATCTTATAATTGCACACCCCTACCAAGTTCTATACATCCTGTGAATTATTCCACATATGACATTAATTGTTTTGTCACTTGACATTTAACTACGAGTATAATCACAAACATTTTAATTTTAATTGCATCCCATACCATTATTATTATTATTATTATTATTATTATTATTATTATTATTATTCACACCTTTGATTCAATTCCCCCACCGGATATAATTTCTTAAAAACCAAATATATATGTATATATATATATATGATTGTACAGCTTGATAATAAATTCTTCGAGAAGAATGAACCAACATCAATTAGAGAATCGCTGGAAACCAGAGGACACTGGATATCAGTATCTTCCTGGTTCAGGACTCTTCAGCAATGCTCACCCATGAGTCTCAAACCAGGAGGAAACAACCGTTCACTGCTTCCTGTTATTTTTTTAACGATACCCTAACTGATATTGGTTTTCGACGAAATCTGCACTGAAATGAATCTACTGCCTACAAAACTCATATTCTAAATAATACTATTCACATCATTTATTTCTTTAAATTATTTCTCTCGAAAATGTTCCCAAAAGAGTAAATTTGATGCAACATCTTATACTGTGATAAAATATTATCTTGAGTAAAGTAATTCTGATACAAAACTTTTCAACAACTCAGTGTAACCACTAATGTTAATCAATAAAACTAGTGTTTATTCAATATAAGAACTGTGATGAGTCAGTGTGTTTAGACTGTTAATTCCAAGGTATTCTGCCATGTAATATAAATGAAGTATAGAATATAGAAAGTGGAAAGAATTCATTGCATGTCTTGAAATGCACAATACTGAATTAAAACTCATTTGATAACACTAGCTTGTAATACCGAATTACTGAAATAATAAGTGAAAAGAAAATGTATTTCATTATGTGTAAAATGACACTTCACATTGGAAAGCACTGGGCTTAACGTCTAACCTCCAAGAGTATACCTGGAATTACTTGTCTGATTCACCAAATAACACAAAATCAAAGACTAGTGATACACATAACATGGAGAAATGACCAACAACATCGGTTTTGAATAGCGCTGATAATCCCACTGTTTAAAATTGTAAAATGTATATTAGGTTAGAACAGATTCGCTTTCTAAACGTAATAGGAACCTTTTTAAGTAAGTAAGTGGCAAGACACTGCACTATTTTACAAAAACACCAATAAGTTACCAGTAGTGATAATGACGTTTCAACAAAATATTGGGCATGATTATAAGGAAACTTACTTCATCCATATAATGGTCTTGAGGAGAATTAGATACGTATAAATCGTAGTAAATAAGTTGTATTTCATCTGTCTGAATGATAGCAGATTTGTTAAAGTTTGCAAGCTTATCCCAATTATTACATCCATGTGCGACAGCTGTAATTATCATAGACAAATTAAATTGAGTAGATTAAATCTAGAGCAATTAGTTTTCAAAACCGAAATGGCTTAAATTTATGCACAGATAGTTCAACACAGCTTGTTGTGTTATGAGAATGTGACAAGTCTTGATGACTACTTTCAACATGATTTAACTCACCATAAAGCATAGAACTTGGAACTACATGAGTAGTATCTAGTTAAATGTTTATACTGAATTATTCTATTACTTTTTAAAAGACGTCTAAAAATATTCTGTTACTCAAATAAAAACTAATATGGCCATAATTCGAATAATGTTAATTAATATCAAAAGGTTCCAGGCAGACAGTTCCACAGAAAAAACACTCCATGAAAATTATACCACTTATAAGTAGTTCAATTTTTACCTCCAATATGTCTTCAGCTTTTTACCAATAGTCTGTCAAGAGTAACGTTTTAAAAAATTATTTAAGGAGAGAATGTCTTTCACCTCCAAAACAGTAATTTGGCAAAATTTTCACCGGTTTTTGATTCCATAACCACTGATATTCGAACTGTGCTGTGTCATACATTACCACATGAACTGTTTAACCTCTCCAAAAACAAAATTTTCCAAGGATAATTCTTTGTATTCTCGACTGTTTAGATTGAGAAAGTCGAGAAAATGTGAACGCGTTTTAGAAAAATTCCCGTTATTCACACCTCCTGACATTACAGAAAGTAAGCCAGAACACAAAAGTGATTGATAAAAGGTTTACAATAAATGAAAATAAGTTAGTAGACGACATAGAACCAAAATGAGATAACCTGCTACCGAAATCTCTTTCTAACTATCTTAGTTAATTTTTTCATAAATGTCTTTGTTTTATCCTGAAAAAGTTAATGGACTAAGCTTTAGGATCTTAAACAGTAGAAACGAATGCATTGGTATCTTGTTTCTACTGAATCAGTGGAACAGCCCCTCAGACAATATGTATTAAAATTTGCATCTCACTCCGAATCAAATGGCGATACAGAATTTCCAAAACAGGAAGAATACCTTTACATGCTAAGTAACCACTTAGCCTTGCTCTTCCAAAGGACATCTAAATAACTAAATAACCTACTTAAAGCTTACATAAGACCCTAGTTGTGAAACAAAGACTTTCACAATGAATACTCTTCAAACCCCCTACAAATTTATGATACATAGTGTAAAACCACACTGTTCTCCTGAATTACCTGCTTGTGTGTGTTAAGTACCATCTCCTTTTATTAGTGTCGTCTTCCGTCCATCTCATGATATTCTATTTTTGTATTATTGCGAGACTACTTCAACATTCAGAAGTTTTGAGTCTGTCAACAATATTTATTGTTACATGAATTGAACTATATAGCCATGAAGTGTTTAAAAAATCTGATACAACCGTACAGTATAATACAGCATAAGTAATCCATTCAATTAATTACTGATGCCACTTATTACAATGAATTTCCATCCATGAAAATTACCTTGTGATAAACATTTATCGACGCTGAATTCATGATTTTGTAGTTTACTCTGTGAATTTTCATCATTGGAATTATTCTGACCATTATTTTCTTGCACATCTAAAGATGGTGAAAATCCGCACAAATCTGAATCATATATATCATCCAACGAGCATTCAGTAGATTCTTTCGACCTACGACGAGCCAACACTTGTATATGACTGGATACTTGTTTCCTAGTTCTAGTTTTACCAGTTCTCAGTTTAATATAACGTGCAATCAGTTCATTACGTCCTAAATTTAAGAAAGAAAGGAAGAACAATTGAAGGTTATACATGAGAAGTACGAGCACAACACATTTCAATACATGGAAATAATACAATTCAAGAAAACGCAGCATTCCATTCTAAAACAATAAAAACCAAATCCAAATGACTATCCCTAAGCATTATTGATATTTAAATAAATAACACTGAAAATTTTCTTGATAACAGCAACAACAGTAAAGAGAGAAACAAAAGCCGCTGAAGCATTTCCTTTGTAAAATTATTTCTTGAGTTAGTGTAAGTTGAAGTCATTAGCTTAGAATACAGAAAGTAAAAAAATACAGTAGAGTCACTGACTATCAACTGAATTCAGTTTATCATACCGTAGACGTTCATAAACCATTACTTGTTACATACCGCTAGAGATATTCAGAAGGAGAGATGTATATCGATGTTTGTTCAGTAGGAATAGCACAGGAAAATCCAACATCGAATTAATCGAATTTAGAATTTCACTTCCATTTATTACATTATTTGTCAAAAAAGCCGTTTTACACACAGTCGACCCTTTTCTGTCCTACTCTACACTAGTAAAGTACAGCTACGGAACGTTAGGAGGTTTCAAGCTCTACACCAAGTATCTTCGTCGGGTTACTCTACAGTCTTGAAATCACGGAGTAGTGTTGAGATTAGGTGTGGAATGTAAGGCAACGGAGGCAGGTCTGTTAGTCCAGTTGCAAATAAACACCAACTGAAGTAATTGAGACAAAGAGTACACATATTGAAGCAACAATAATCTTGATGAATTTGCAAATTATGAATTTGATATATGGTATTACCAGTTCACCTAAGCAGCTAGCCAGATGGCTCTCTGAGTTCAGTCAAACCAGGTACACTGCTGACGGGGTCGGTCCCAAATGAGCGAAACAGCCATCCGGTGTTTAGATCACTTTGATCTGGCTAGCAAGCATCACTGGTTGGTGTGAGTGGCACACAACTACTCATCTCAATCAGTCAGTAGTATATACTGTCATGCATGTATCATGCTTCCTCTTTTTTATTATTATTTTTTCAAAATCCTCCGCTACTATTAATGTGAAATCTACATAGTTGTAACAGCTCTTCAACTGACAAACTAGGGCTCTGTGTACAAAACGTTCGTACAGTAAACTAAGTATCTAACTGTTAAGATGGTACACGGAACCTGCCGTGTCAATTTTAAGTGGATAGTTGTTTCGTAAAGTGATAATAACTTTGAAAGCGGTTGCTGAAAAAACTTTTAAATTTTACAATTGATAAGCGTCGAAGACATGAAGAGAAAAGAGACTAATTAGCTATTTCCCCAAGCGAAACATTAATTAGGTCAACTGATTTCTAGCCGAGGACATAAGAGAAGGTAGAATTTCCAAATCACTATATACTCAGTAAATACAGTTTAAGCATATATACTAGACACTGGATATACAAATAGGCAATAACCTCGTGTAATGTTGTCCAACCAGAAATGAAAGAAACTGTTAATTATATAAATTAGTTAATGAAGCTTTGTTACTTGTCTTACTACCTATTCACATAACATGATAGCAAGGATGAAATAATCAACAGATTTATAAAATTCACTAGCCTTTGTTCTCTTTCCTAAAAATCAATACTTCGTCTGTTTGTCCACTATCTCATTGTAAACTCAAACCCGTTAAATTGAATAAGAAACTCAATCTTTTCATTCAGCACACACACACACACACATACACTTACGAATTTAACGACAGTTCGATCAGGTGGTTAAAATAAAATCATATGTTGTAACCTAAAATAAACAGTCCGTGGACAAAGAGTCCTTAAGTAACCTATGCAACACAAAATGGAGGTTATAAAGGATACAGTTTGAATCTATAACAGATTCAGACTTTGTAATTAAATGTTTACACGTCTGTTGAGTTTTAGTGAGTCGTCTGTTACAATAGGGAAACATGGGAGTAGAGGTGGATTTTGTTGTATGTTAGTATTTTTATGTGAATAACTTGTTTGAATTAGAAAAAGAAGTTTTAAAATGTCAGGAAACATAAATGACTAACTAACAGATGATAGTTGCAAGAAATAAAATCCAGAAATTTATTGAGGCTTGAAATTTTTGCCACTGATTATTAGAATCAAAGGGATTAGTACATGTTAGCCTGGCATCGTTTTGATACAAACTTTTATTCTACCTTTTCCTTATATGCAACTATCACTTAAAAATGAAATCTCTATGGTACACACTTCATTCTTCTTAAAACCAAACAATCGAATGTGGAGCAAGCAAGCGAGTGGAGTGATTGGTACTGAGTTTGAGTTGTATTGTGAACACATGAATGGGTACAGTTATTTGCAGTTAATGAATCAGAAATGGGACAAAACATGTTTTCCAGTTAAAATCACTAGCTATTGAAGATTTAATGATACTTAAGAGTAGATCAGTTACTAGGGTTTATAAATGACTGAATTATTTTCAGTCGGATTTCTCCGTACATTGAGAACTATCTTGAACTGAGGTATAGAGAGAGTATACATAATGTTTACCTACTATGTTTGTATGAAAATATCAGCTTAGTCATTGATGCTGTTAATTGTCAAAATAAAGTAAATTTCCATTGCATGGAACATTTCCAGTGATTAGGTATTATTTCAAAGCTTAAACTGATGTCGACAACGGTGAGATAACAACTCTAATGAACAGAATATGGAAAATTTTCTCATAGTCAGTAGATAGAAAGATAAACTAAAGGGAAGTATTGGAAGATAAATTTATCGGTTCAAGCTACCATAAAACTACAGATATCAACTCCCCTGCTAAGTAAAATATACCTCTGAGTAAAATCAAGTAAAGTATAATTATATTTCAATAGTTTACACACAATGATAAGTTTTGTTATTGGTAATATTTCGAGCAAAATTACCAATAACAAAACTTATCATTGTGTGTAAACTGTTGAAATATAATTATACTTTATTTGATCTAATCCACAATGTAACTTTCCTGATATTAAAATCAAGTATTTGAGAGGTATTTAATTAGCGGTATGATTTCATCGCTCTTTCGTATGAGAAAATATAATATTCCTATCAAATGTGCTATCCCTTTGAAATTATGAACAGCAATACAATTTCAAGCGAGAACACTTTACAGTATAAATGATAAAGTAAGTGGAAACTAATCAAGTAAATAATGTGAACTGTAAATATCTTATGGATATGAATAGCGATTGCTTTCTACTAACTATGGGATATTTTAGACACACTGTTATTATGATCTGTAAATTTGTGTTTACATCATTCTCAGAGATATTCATAAGCATACGATTCGAAAGAATACACAAAATCAGAAAAATCCCGAGTTTTACAGACACATATCCACTCATTTTAATACTAAGATGACACATAAAATTGTAACAATCCTGTTTTAAATACTGGAAATAGAAACGTAAAAATTTACAGTGTTCACTCTAATTTTCGAATCATTGTCAGAGTAGTGCAGAGACCATTTTACAACCTTCAATGTATTTGAAAATAAAAATGATTGAATGTTAAAATTGACTGACCTCTCAGATTTACTCAATTATTTTACATCAGGTGTTGAGGAAACTGTTATTTTTATTTCCCTTAAGTAGACCGTACATTAGTACTAGTACAGAAAATGTGTTATCATATCAGTGCCCAAACTATACACAATTCCAGATAGTACATGCATTACGCAATATAAGATCAAAATGTTTATGTTTAAACTGGCTTACAAATTTTACAGCGGTATAGACAAGATAAAGGTCGACTGGTAGAAGAAACTGATTTTTACTTTGCTTTTCTTCTGCCCGAAAGTTCTAGAACTTCAGCCTCTAAGATAAATAGCTTACATTTAGGGACTTCTATTGAGGATATACCAGCAGAAAATTGTTCGAAAAGCCTTTATGGAAACCATTTGATTGCATCTAGTGTTCTCTGAATCATCAATATTGATCATCCATTGAAATATTTGGTCAGCAAGGATATCTTTTCGGTGACTTCATCTTCAAAAGCTATACAATCACATTTTTACACATAAGCCCATATAGTTACAGTTATTATTTAATTCAACATTGTGACAAAAGGAGATTAAAGGAGAGAAGAGAAAAACATCGGGGGGACTTTAAAGACATCTCAGAGTTGGTGGACATCCAGGACACTAAGGCGAAGACCGTGGTGCCTAGAATGCTACTGAGAGATCGATAGAAGGCTGTTTACCATGGCATGGGGTGTGCAGTTGGAAAGGAGACCTGGTTTCAACGCACAGAGACTGTGACTGAAGTAGTGATTCGACATATCGTTGCAGATCACGGTGTACCGAAGACGATGTTGACAGATCAGGGTTCTTGTTTTGAAAGTGAATAATTCACATTCCATAGAATGACTGGTGGTGGAACAGGCAATGAAGCATTTTCGTACCACGTAGCAATGGGGTTGGCTCTGAGGCTGAGGGACCTACTTCCCTGCTCTATTTTCACGCTTATTGAAGAGTTCCAGGCGCAGTTATTGGCATTACAATTTATGGAGTGATCCAGAATCCATTTCCAAGCAAGTATAACTAGTTAAAGCGGCAGAACCTATGCACACTGGTGAGCTTGCGAAAGTAGAAGTACATCTATTGAGAACAACGGGAGCCGAACAGACCCCACGAAAACTAAACGGTAGGAACGACAAACTGAAGATTTGAAGCAGGAGGTGGCGGCGCTGCAAAAAAGGACCGATATTTTGTATGCAGTGAACCAGGACATTGGCGAACGTACTGTCCAGAGAGATGAAAAAAGCATTTCAGGACATTTAATGAGTTCTTTCTTTGCGATCAGACTAGTAGCACAGAAGTAAGATCTATTCCATGTTACAAGTAAATGACTGAGAAATTGTATACCTAATAGATATGAGGGTAGTTATCTCATGTATAAATAATTAAGGGAAGAGAGTCAGACCATGTGCACTGATAGCATAAAAAGTTGTTAGACATATTCTAAAAATAGCAGA